ATATAATTAAAATATTAACTAATTAAATTCATGAGAAACATTTATAAATTTGAGATTTTCTAATTATTAAATAAAAAGATCACATAAATTCTACTTTTCATTAATATTAATAGTAAAATGAATATATGTACTTAATAAATTATTATTAAGTATACTATCTGTTAATTTTTCTCTATCATCTAAAATTAATGCATTTTCTTTTTCACATAATAATTCATACTAATTTTCTAATTTTTCATTTTAATTTTGCTTATTAGTTATATAATCATCTGAATTTTAAAAATTTTCAAGAGCTTCTTTAATTTCTTCTTGTGATTCTAAATTAATAATACCTTGATTATTTTGTTCAATAATTGGTAATGTAATATTAATTTTTAATTTTTCTGAATCATATTTTCATTTTTTTCATTTTCAATTTGTTGTATATCAGCACAAAGTTGAGCCATAATGACAACTTTTTCATGCTAAAATAAGTTATTAAAATAATTAATAAATGTGTTTATAAATTATAATTATTTAAATAATATAAAAATAATTAAAATTTATAACCTTTAATTTATTTCTTTAAGATATATGCAAAAATCCTATTGAGAATAATTGTTTAATAGAAGCTAAATTTATACAAATACTAAAAATTTTTGTAGTATAAGTTCTAATTCTTTACATATAGTAAAACAATAATACTAGTATACTAAAATATCATCATTAAATTACTTATATATTTTATCATTAAATAGTGATTTTTTTATTTGATAAAATTCAAATTCAGCAAATAATTTTGTTAGTTTATTATATAACCATACTTTATAATAATAGCCAAGCCAATTTTTCATTGTTATAAAATTAATTATTTTAAATTAGAATTAAATTTGTTAAGCTGATACTTAAGATAAAGAATTAAAGAAAGTAATAGTAAAGGTTATTTCTAACTTTTCTAACATTTTTTAAAATGTGAAATCATACTTTCAGCTAAGAAATGATCTTTATTTTATTTTCAAAACTTATTAAAATATCTAAATGATAATGTAATATCAAATAATCAGGCTTTATCTGCTTGTAATTTATCAAGTGCTTTATAATAAGGTTGCATTAATATTATAAGTTATGAAATTTGTGATCAAAATAACTTATCTATAATTATTTTACAGATTTTAGTCAAAAAATATAATTTAATAGTTATTTGAAATGAAGAAACTGTTTCACTACTTTTAATTTCAGGAGTGTAATTAAATTTTATTTAAAAATTAAAAATACTAATAATTTAACAATTATTTATAAATTTATAATGAAAATAAATTTACTCATCTTTAATACTTATTTAGTTTGAATTAAACTTTTATAGCAATTATAATAAGAATTCTATTGTGTATCTCTAGGTTTTATTATTGCATAATATTTATTATAAAGCTTTATTTAAATATTCCTTAAGTTTTAAATAAAATATATATTTTAGAATAAGTAAAATAAAAAAATAGTTTTACAGCATTAGTAGATGCTGTTGCCAAAATATTAAATTCTTTAAAAATTTTTTCAATAGCTAAATTACACTGGTGTGCAAAACATGATAAAAAATATATTTTGAATATTTAATATGAAATTAACGTTTATTTGAATAAAATATTAATTACTTCATAATAATAAAGTAATATTTATTATATTAAACTTACTCACTATATAGAAGTATATGTTATAGCACTATTATTTACAACTGCAGTAATTTTAATTATCTGATTTTTTAAGTCATTTAGCATTTCTTTAATATATAATATAATATTAATTGCCCACTTTCTTTGGCTACTTATATTCACAGCCTTCTATACTAATATTTTACCAGAAGACATAATAATCATAATTCTAAGTAACTCTTGATTTACAATATTTTTCTAACTATCAAATGCAAGAGTAATACCAGCTTATTCATATACTTGATTTAGCTTATCTTTATGTGTATTTTCAATATTTTTAATTGTATTATCTAAGATAGTACCAGCTAGTTATTTTTGATTTAGTAATTTTAACTTTAAATTTAACTAATAAAATAAAGCATGAGTTAAAGGATTATCAATTTACTGAAAAGCTTAACTATTCGCAACTGTCATTCTAATTAAAAATTCATAAAATTTAGGAGTTTCAGTTTTAGTAATATTTTATACAGCATATTTAAATATAGATGATTATTGTAAAAATCTACTTGAAGCTAATGATAATTGTATAAAATTCGTATAAAAACTTAAAGTAGATAAAAAAGTATCTATAATAAAATTATAAATTAATTAATATTTCTTTAGAAAAAAGGAAGTTAAATAAAATTAAATAAATACTAGTTATCAAGACATATATTTTTGCTGGTAGTATTTCATCATCATTATCATCATATTCTTTTAATATATCTTTTGCTTCTTCACTATATTTATTTCAAAAATGCTCACAGTTAACCAAGTATTTTTTAATTCTTTCCTTTCTATTTATCATAGGTTTAGCATCTTTCTTTTAAAATCTCAATATAGCATTTATATATATATTATCTATTTTTATTTTTTAAATAATTTTTTTAAAATTATAATAAATAAAAAAAATTATGTCTTGGTCAATTTTCTATTGTGTGATATAATATCAAAAAGATTGAAAAGATTATTTTAATAAAAAATGTTATTTACCTTCTTAAAATAACTTTTCAATTTAATTTTTAGACTATACAAAATAATTTTTGGATTATCCAAAATTGTTTAAAAGTTTTAGATTGTCTAAAATCCATCAAAGTTTTGAATAATTCTGGATAGTTTAAACTATTTTGGATAATTTAAAAACTATTCAATATAAATATCTAATTAGATAAGTCTAAAATCTAATACTAATATATTATATTAAATAAATTAAACAAAATTTACTTAATTTATTTTTATTATATTTTCTATATTTTATTTTATATAGTTATTTTATAGCTTGATAAATAATTAATTATAATATAATAATTTTATATAAAATATATCACTTTTGAATGAATTATAAATTAGATTTAAGAAACTTAAGAAGTTTAATAATTTAAATCTTTTTTGTAAATTTTAAATTATAAATAAAGTAATTAATAAATCTATATTAATATTTTTTTTTTTTAATATTATCTTTTATCTAGAATTTGATTATAATATATTATACTTTATAATTTAAAAAAATTTTTTATTTTTCAATATAAATAATAATTTATATTAATTATTTTAAAAAATTTATATAATATTATATAATATAAATTTTAAATTATATATATTATATTTAAAATTATTACATATTTTTTATTTTATAAAATTTTATATTATTATTATTTATATATGTAATTAGTATAAATCTTTTTATATACTATTTTTTTCAATAATAAAAAATTGCATTTTTTTTTAAAATTATTTTTATAAACATTTTTTTTTTTTATTTTTTATTTAATTATTTATTAAATATATTAAATATATTAATAATTGATAAAATTCAAATAAATTATAATAATATAAATAATATAAATAATAATACTTATTGTATATTAATATTTTTATAATTTTTCTTTAATTATTTATTATTTTTAATTTATTAATTAATTTTAAATTTTTTATTAATCTTTGTATTATTTTATTTTAATAATAATTTTATTAATTTTATATAATATTTAATATAAAAAAGATTATATTACTTAATACTGATTTAAAAAAAATAGAAGATTTATTAGAATTAAATAGAATTTAAAATTTATATTGATAATTCTATTTAAAAATTTAAATATAAAATTAAAATTAGTATATTATTGAAAAATTAATATATGGGTTCTTTGCAATAGAAAGGGAAGAAACTACCAAAAAAAATTTTTTTGAGTTAATGTTAAATTTGAACTTATTTTATTAAAAAAATAATATTTAGCTTATAAAGTAAAAAAAAAATTTTTTTAGTAGTATCCTCCCTTTCTATTGCAAAGAATCCATATTATATTACTTATGAATATTTAAAATTATATATTTATAAACTGTAAGGATCTATTAATTTCATTAAATAATATAATACTACTTTATAGTATATATAATATTATTAAAAATTTAAAGGATTAATAACATTTTTTATATAATATATAAAATAAAATTAATGAAAAATTACAAATGAATAAATAATTAAAGCAACAAAGTCTATTAATTAAAAAGTTATAAATAATAATTACAATTTAAATATTATAACAAAATATTTTAGATTTTAATATTATAGTTTAGTATTTATTAAAGCTAAAAAATTAAATATTTTAAATCTAATAATATTTATTTTATTTGCTAAATTATTATTGGATATTAAATTTTTACTCATTAAAAAAAAGTATAAAGTTAAATTTCTTATAGATTTTTAAGTTTATTAGATTCTCTAGAATTTGTAGAATTTGTAGGATTTATTGAATTTAATAGATTCATTCATTCATATCTTAGATTAAAATTTAATTTATGTTATCTTTAAATTAGTAATAATAAATTTTATTAATGGTTATAAGCACGTGAATAGTATGTATAAGCTTATGATCATGTGATATATGTTTCTAAAAATAAATAAAGATATTAATTAAGAATATAGAGTGCTAATTATGGTAATAGTTAATATTATAATGAATTAAGCAAAACTTTTATAATAATCCACAACCAAAAATTTATTTTGAATTTGTGAGTGAAGTTTTGGTATACTTAAAGATAAAAAAATCAAGGATTTCAAAATCGATGATCGTTTTTTTCTTTAGTAGAAGATATAATACGATCACATGGAAATTATTATTTGGATAATCTTCACAGAAACACGATTTAAAATTAAATGTTTATGTTTACTTTTAACTAGTACCGCATGATAATATACTCAAATTGACTTGTTTTTCATTTAAAATATATTCTATTTTCTTTTTGGAATATTGTAAAATGAAAATAGAGGACAGAAAATTAGTAGCAAAGGCTGCAGCAAAGGCTGTTCGAGATGCCTTACTAAGTATTATTGTATCAAGGAGTGTCAAAAGAAAGACTATGCCAATCATGTGTTTGACTATCCTCCAAGGTTGGTGGACGACCTTGTTTAAAACGGTTATGCCAATTTGATACCCACGAAGTCGGCGGTGCTACATGAATATAGTTTTAATAACTGCTTAAATCCTCAGGTACGATCAAATCTTCTAGTCTTATATATTAGCCTTATAAAAATAATAGGTTGCAGCGCATCTCAGATTCATACCTGGTGAAATAAGAAAATGGTGAGTTACCATTTGGTATCAAAATAAATTTATGTTGATAACACCTTTGAGCTTCTAAATTCATATCAATGTATGTCCAGAAATTTATATTGTCGATTTTTGGAAATTTCGCAAAGCATTATATTATCATTATATTATCATATGAAACAAGTTGTAAAAATATGATTGGCCCGTCAGCAAGTACAAAAGACAAATTTTTTTTACCGAATAAATATCCTCGATGCATTTAGTTCTTAAAAATTAATTAATTTGTAATTGTCCCGCTGCAAAAACTTTAACTGGCCGGTGATGTATAAATTTTAAAAAGCCAGGTTTTCCATCTTTTGAAATGTAGTACCAAAACATAAATTTTTTCGAAAACGGTAATACATAAATAAGATCTATTTTTTTTTTTCCAAAAAAAAAAAAATCAAAACTTTGCGTTAATAGGTTAATCTATTTCTGTTAAGAATTCGGCTTTCGGTGATGTTGCTAGTTTCATAGTTTATATGATTGTAGTACCGCCATTTCCTCGTCTATAACTGATATTGTCCGATCCTCATATTTTTGGAATGTTGTAATGCTAATAAATTACATATTACATCATAATCACGAAGCTGATCACATCAATTAAGCTTCTTTATTCTTATTAAAACCTTTTTTTCAATTGACCTAATAACGTTTAAATGAATGATCATTACATGATTTCATGCTGCGGTTCAACGGTAGGGTCCTGATGGACTGACTATCACTATTCCATCGATCAAGAATACATTTTTATTAACTAGAAAAACGAAACCGCAAAGTAAATTACATAATCTTGATCATGACAATTATATTTCTATAAATATTATGGGCGTAATCAAAAATAAACAATCACACTTTAAAATGAGTATTATAGAAGTATTGTATAGCAAGAAATTTTATTTATTTTTTTTCGAGTGATCTCGTTTGGATTAAATATTAACAATAATTATAATAATAATTATACAAAAATTATTTGATAAAATAACGAAAAATTTGTTAAACTGTAGATGGCTTGAAAATTGCGAGGAAAGATTGAAAAGGGTGATTCGTAGTGTCACGTGATGACTGCGCTTGTGATTCTTGTGATCGTGCAATTAATGGCGAGTTCCTATGATGACGTACAGGCAAAGGTGGGGATGGTTGTTCTAATGATTCCCCGGGTGAATTTTACAGAAATAGATTACTCTGAATAATACAGGATATTATTCACCTAATTACAAATTGAACTATCAAAGAACAACAAATGGAATTAAAATTCTACATACATTTCCTAATAAGTTTAAATGCTATTTTAAATATATTCTTCAATAGCATGATCATTCACAAGCTCTGCCTCTTTGAATTCTCTTAGGAGTTTCGCTTATATTCTCTTCGGGCATAAATAATGATCAAGATGTATTCGTAAGGATCCGTACACGTCTTTGAAAATTTTCTTCAGCTTTGAAATGCTAAAATTGCGCGTTTATACTTCTCTCAAACATGTCACTTTTCTTTGGAAAACCCGCGGAAAGTAGAACTTTTGACGCGATTACAACACGCTACGCATTCTTGATATATTGAAGATTTTGATGCTCAATTAGCAGAGCAGCATCTGAATTCCAGCTAGAAAGTACGCAAAACATTTGCTGGTAAGTTTTACACGGGTAATTTGAGGATCGGTACTATCACTGCTAATTTAATTCAACCATGTAAACCGAAACATTAAACTTGGAACTTAACGTCATAGATAGGAATCCAGATTCATATTCTGTATTCCTAAAATAATATCTATCGATATTTTTAATCTAAAGCGTTTAAAAATATCAATAATAATAGTTTATTTATAGCTTAATCTAATAATATCAATACATTAAAAATAATAGGTAGTCACAAATAAGGTCACGTGGCGAAGTCCGGTTGTCCGCACGCGTGATTTTTGATTGGTTGATTTTGTATCCGCATATTTATATGAAATAAAAAAACTCCGGACTACTACGCACAAATGTTACACAATATTTTTATATAAGAATACATATGCCGAAAAGAAGTATCATATGGTGACACCCTAAGGACAATTATGAATGTCATAAAAAAAATTTCACCATATTATTTTTCACTCGCTTTACAATTAAAATGTGGTGACCCATCTCTGAGATCTCTTGGTTTTACCAAGTTTTACTAGGAAGAACTTGAGGATTACTTACTTGTTACACAAGTGAGTACATTGATTTTATAACTGTTAAAAACTAAAGTATATATAAAACTTAGGTCTTTTTTTATCAAAAGCTTTTGGGATTCACATGAGCAAATTTAAATCTGAAAAGTTGATCATTTTCTTTTGAAGCCTTTGTAAAACTTCAATAATTGTATTATGAAATGATTTTTACGCAAATCGATTTAACCAATCAGAATCCTTGTTGATTAACTATGAAATCAAACTTCAGTCATGTTTTTAAAGTGATTGACAATTATAATAAAAAAGTTAACCAATTATAATTGAAATTCTTATCTTGTGATCCAAAATTATACATACAAATACATACTAATTTATTTATAGAATCACAAAACTATTCATTTGCCAAACAGATTACTATATTTATAAAGATTTTATATAAGCAATTTGATAATTTAAAGTTTGATCCTACTCATTTTAAACAAATGATTGAAGAGCAGATTCATATTTATGAGGTTTTTTTAATAAATTAGTAAAAGTATTGATTTCTGATAACTAATTTACATATAATTAAATTGAAGCAAAAAAGATAATTGTGAATTTATGCTATATTATAACTAGAATATGAAACAAGTTTGTTAATGATTTTAAGTTAGAAGTTGGATTATATTTATTAGCATCAAGAGCAACATGTATTATAATCAATACAATAAATAGTATTAGATTTTTTGCTTATTATATAATAGTTAATAATTTTAAACATAAATTTATAAATAAATGTCCATTAAATATTAGAAATTTTCTTTCTGAATATGTAAATAAAATTAAAATTTTTTTTTAAAAAAATTATTACTAACTAAAATTTAATTATAATTAGAGTAATAATTTGTATATTTATATCTAAATGATTACCATGATATACATGAGAAAAGAAGATCAGATACTTACTGGTCAAAATTAAAAAAATCAGACATGTAAAAAATCAGTCTAAAATCAGTCTAAATTTGGTAAATTATCAAAAAATCGGTCTAATCGATTGGCATATACTAGAAATCAGCCAAGAATCAGCTAAAATTTGATCTATCTTATTTATAGTTGATTGATGTCTGATTTATATCTAATTGATATACATCAAAAATCAGCTACAATTCAACCTATCTTATTTATAACTGATTTATATCTGATTGGTATACATTAGAAATCAGCCAAGAATCAGTTAAAATTCAACCTATCTTATTTATAGCCAATTGACATCTGATTTATATCTAATTGATATACATTAAAAATTGGCTAAAATATTTCAAAATAAAATAAAATTCAGAAGGAAATATTTAGAATTAACAGCTAAATAATG